ACACACAAAAATCGAGCAGAAGAATTGTTATCGTCGGTCACAGCTGATGAATATATTTCGCCGACACTTACAAGGAATATAATGGATTATATTCAGCTGCATATGGTGAATGTGGAACAACATGAACCACCGAAATTCGTACGTTTCTGTTTCCTTTGTTCCACTCGAAACGTTCGCTCGGTCGTTGCACTCGCGGATTTATTAATCTTCTTCCTTTATTAAACTTGTTAAGAAAAGAAAACAACAACAACAAAAAAAGTACGCGCCATACATTAATGAACGAAAATTAATGGCTTCCGTGCCAAATGGAACGCGATCGGTATGGTTTGCTGCGAAGAGTAGACGATATACTGAAGTGAAACCATAGCAGGACATCTTAATACCAGATTATTGGTTGCGTGCCGTACAAATACGCTGTAATTTAATTGGAAATTCTCTAATTAGATATGAAGAAAAAATAAAAGAAATCTAAATATTTCATTCTAATATGATCAATATTTAATAACAATTTAATTTCAATTATTTTTCATTTTCAACTTATTGACAATCATTAAGAGTTAATCTATAGATCAGAGAACTCGTTAATACGAGTATTTACTACCAACTTGACCCTCTAAGAGCTTTAGAAATAGCATTTCCACATTGTAAACTGCCTCAAGATCATCGAACTGTATAATGAAAAAAAAGTAGACTGTGAATGTTGCCCATCCCATTATTATTAATAAAATATTGAATAAAACTAAGAATAACTTATTTTAATCTCTATTGTAATCATATTTATGATACTATTAACAGATATGTGTTATTTCCTGTTTCCCGTTTTCGGGAAAAGCCATACAAATGTTAATTCGATTATGTCAAGATTCATACTGGTCCTATAGTCGTTAGTAATCTATTTAATTTTGTATATCATATGAAATCATCAATGAACAACCTTTAACTTCATGTTGTAAATGAATAAATATCAAAATACATTGGTTTTTACCTCGAGAGATGATGATGACCTAAAAACCCAATTGAAGAGAAAAAATCGTTAATGCAGAAGTAGCTACATGAGTAAACACACTCGGAAGTTACGTCAAACTAAAAAAAAACAGAAGATAAATTTGGAAAGCTGGATAAACAAAATCCAGTAAAATTTTACGCAAAACAAACGAAGGAAAACACAAACATTTGCCCGGATGAATCTACATCCCCTTTATATGCTGTAAACGTAAATACATTAAAATTATTTTACAGTGAATACACAAAATATTGTATGTTACATCAGACTTTCAAAATAAACAGTAAACAACAATTATTTATAAATACTTTTTATAATGCAAAAATAAGTGCGAAGCGTTGAAAATGAAATTCCAAAAGTACAAGGTCAAATTGTTCTCAGCGACAAGAGGTAATTCGCTTTTCAGTTAAAGAAAGATTAGTTTTAAATTACAGTTTCAGACGTGACCTCTTTAATTGTTTTCTTATATAAATGAATTTCTCATGAGTTCAAAAATGTAATTGAATGATACATTCAAACACAATTCTTTGTGTAATAATTGCATTAATATATTTACATTCATAATAAATTTAAGGTTAATTGATGAATCGAACTTAGCTTAATTAGAATTTAATGGTATTCAAGTAGAAAAACTAAAAAATTCATTAATTTTTATAATATCGTAAATGCAATGGAAATAAACAATGTTAATTGAACTTGTTGAAATATTACTTTCAAATTGTTTTAAATTTAACAAACTTTGAAACAATTTATCAATATATGTAATATATACGTTTATCAAGTAAATCCTCTAACAAGATTCTCATGAACAAACACAGGATTTATCTATAAGCTCTTGGAAATTAATAAGATATATCCACCATTCAACAGTAGAGAATTCAATATCCTTTTTGCTTTCTTTTTTTATGTACTATTTTCTTCTTCGTATTACGTTTCAATTTTCAATTCGCTGCAGATAGGAGGACGATTGCTTTAATTCAATCGGGCACGGTGCCAATTTCTCATGAAAGCAGTGTCGGCAATTTTTAGAAACTATTTCTCCACACCTTACAATAATCATTTTACTTTTCATAAATGTTTATATTCTAAAATCTATTTTTATATTATGTTCACATCACTTTATTTTCTAATAATACATTTCTTGTACTATTTTTAATTCTATAGCTAAAATGGAAATAATTAGAAGATGAATGCAAATGAATCTTCAGAATGACAGTCGGGAAGTTATCTGAAGACCTTGACCTGAATGAGGCCGTTCTTTCTGAAGGTTCTAGAAAAAATCGATTTCTGTAAAAATAGAGCAACTTTACAATTATTACAAATTACATAACGTTAAACTTGTGTGTGATATAAAAATGACTCAATAGTTTACTAACATTATGACTTTTCATAATTAACAAATATTTTCTGAAATGTTTGTCTATTTGATACAAATATTTGTTACATAATTGAATCACACTGACGTGATTTCAAATATTTTGAATTCGTCATGATTCATATAAATGAATTTAATAATAAAACGAATAATCGCAAATAATTAAAAACTTTACATTGATTGCATTTCGATTGGATATCATTGGAGCATTCCAGGATGCAAATTACGAGTGCATCGTACGCAAATAGCAGTTTTATTAATCAAAAACCTATACACGATAAATTGTGTCTTGTACGAGCCACATCAATAATCATGTACGTGAATTCCTTTCAATGAAATAAGTAATCCTTTGACCGGTTTCTTTAAGCCACGTAAGTTAAACTACTTCACAAAGGGCCAACGTTAATATCACGCAATGTCCAGAAATTTTATACAATGAAGTACAAGAAATATATATTTGTAATGTTATTTCGACTACATCAATTCTTTTACGCATTTCGTGTAGGAGAAAAACAAAGCAAGTATATCTGTGAGGCTAATTTCTTCTGAGCGTTGTTGTTGAGTCACCGGCTCAAATGCGGGCGCTTTACAAAAGCCTGTGTGATTAATGCTAAATAAACTATAAATATGGTAATGTCTCATTAATACGCAACGCCATGTACTGTGTATTCACTGGACGTTATAATTATGTACGTTCTTTTTAGGTAATTATTTTTATATATCGTAATTGCTCATTTACACTATGATAAAAAGAATTTTATAAATTATTTCTACAAAGTATCTTAAACTAAATTTAAAAAAAAAGGTGTCCAAGAAATAGTTGTATATAATAACATAACGTGCAAAATAACATGATTGAAAAAATCCATGCTGTGCACTACATTTTGTCAGGTCTATTGCATTCCTCGCAAATGATTGAACTTTCTATACTGTTACAAATTTTCAATGGACAATCATTTTATTAATCCATCCTTTAGAAATTTTGATCTGTGATAGTTGATAATTTGTGCAGATTTATTAAACTAAGTAAATAATTTATGAAAATAATCATTTTTGTTTGATGAAATAGGAAATTTTCATTCAAATGAATCTCTCTATTGTTTCGCAACTGAAAACAATGGACACAGTGTACGATTATATTTTTTTTTGAATCGTCGTCCGGATGCAGAGAAGACTCAATTTTGGATCAGCATATGACATCACATTATTAATCATCGCGTTATTCTCGAAACAAATTGAAGAAAGCTAGTGGGAAATCCCACTGCGAGAGACAATGTTTTTGAACTCCAGTGCATCAAAACAAACGATCATCAATGCGAGAGGATTATGGATTGTTGTGCGGACGACAAAAGATTCATTTTCCCAGATATATGTGTGTGCCGACAGAACATCGACAATTCCAAATAGAAAAGGTCACCGTTATCATCAGGATAATAGTGCTGCACACATTCATGTTTGATTGAAGCGTTCGTATCGAACTTCTGAAAACTGCTTAATCTAATCTAGAAAGCAATTAATTTATTTGTTCAATGGTTCACCTCGAAACAATACGCAAATATATTAGATATTCAAAGGAAATTTTTTTGAACACAATTTGCATAAAATATGCTTAAGGTCAACCTACTATCGGGTAATTTAAATAATGCATCACAATGTAGTTTACAACAATCACAATGTTTTAATATAATTATGTTGTTTTAGGAACAATATAGATAATTGGAACGACTTAAAGTAATCTTAATAGATATGTAAATGATAATGTTGTCTTGCACATCTTTTTAATAAATAGAACATTTAAATGTTTGATGTTTGGTAAAGTTATAAAACTTTTAACTGTCAGTAAGAATGGATGAGTTTTCAACGTGGGGCATGCTAAAACGGAGACTATTTGGTGGGAAAATAATTGCTGCTGCACCTATTAAAAGAATAAACAAGGTTGGAATACGTATGAAATTTGAAAGGAATCATATTTTAAGTATTTTATTCTTATTTATACACGCAAAAGATGGATTTTAGAGATGAGTCATAAGCTTAAATAACAGTCAGAGATTAAATTCCTCATATCTATGTCGATGATGTAAAATAAGGTAAGGGAATAAGATTCATCGTGCATCAATCAAGTTGGACGTAATATCGATTCAACGTGCACTAAAAGGGGGGTGTAACGAGCAATACATAAACACAGTTATGGGTATCAAGCGAAAATAACTTCCACGTACGGTAAATTTAGCCGGTCTCGCGTATTCGAGTTGCAAAGCGTTACCAAATACGTAGGAATGGTAAGCGAAAGGAACCAACGAAATGTTCCCACGTTTTGGAAATAAATAAGCAAATTGAAACGATTCCAATTTCCTTTCCATATCCAATGGTTGCATTCAGATTTCCGATGTGTGTGATACGAAATAGATGGTGGTGCTCCTACAGGTGCCCATCAGGATCGTCCTTGGTGGACGGACATCTACTACAAACTTACCTACCCCACATACCATCATCATCATCACAAAGTGGGCGTACGTATCTCTCGTCCGTGCATTCCTCTCCGCTTCCCCAGCGCTTAACTCTAACTTAATTCTAATAAGCCGGACTTAATCCACTAATAACATGGAACGATTTCGCACTCACCTTGCGTGAAACAGGAAAATCAAGAATGTCGTGGCTAGTGGGGAAACAAAATCCGTGTAAATGGGTAATCCAAAATATTGCGTAACACTATCAGTTATAAACACTATGAACCAGACGCACGGTGTCCTCGATGATCACTAATCGCAAAGGAAATGGAAACTGTTTCGTTTCGGGTCTTCCAAGTGGATTGGATTTATTTGATGAGCAAAGCGTACATTTTACGTACGTTAACTGCCAGCAACTACCTGTCTCTGTCGACGACAGACTCAATGTACGACGCAAGCCGTGGAATCTGAGAGTGAGGGAGAATTTCTAGTTCTTCCTCACGACGACGTTGCATTATTGACAAGTCGCCACCAGTCAACATTCGAAATTCTCGACATTTTTTTTTTGAATACATAGGCAACCAATTTTACAAAAAGACTACATTCGAATTGGATTATCTTTATTATTTCTATTTGATATTTTGATAACTTCTTATTAACAACAATGTTCTTTACATATGTATTGCATGAATTACTATGCATTAACTTTCAACTTTGTACATTGGTCACTAATTCCATCACTAATCTCGCTATAGGAAAATTTGAAATATCCAATATTAGAAAACAAATCAGAAACTACAACATTCAATATTTTTTTGTAATCTTGTTAATTTTATATTTGTTAAGTATACAGTGGAACCTCGCTTAACGAGCATTTCTCAAAATGAATTCTATGAAAAATGACTCGCTTAACGAGCGACGTTTTGCGTAACGAGTGACGATGAGAAGAGAAGTCCCGGATTGCGCGCCTGCTACTTTATATTATGTGTATTTTTGAATATGTTTCACTATACGAGTTAAAAACCGCAAATTTTGGAATGGAATAAACTCGTTAATCGAGGTTACACTGTATTGATATACTTTAAAAGCATGTGTAACATATACGAATATTTTCTTTACTAAACTTTGGATGTTATTAAACAAGATTTTCAAATATTAATTATAAAGTAAAGATCAATATGAACAAACTATGCGATTGTTCATAATGAAAACAAATAAAATGTAATGAAGACATTAAAATTGCAAAAAAAAGTATATTGAAATATAAATGTTTATTATATAAATAATAAATTACATTACTTCGGTTTGGCTAAAGTGAACAAAATGTAAATACTATGGACGGTCATTCCTAAGATGAGTAAGATCTGGAACTGGTACAACATTTTATCTTTCGCTCCGCCTTTTAAATACACCGGTAAGTTGTTATCAATTTGGAATTTCTTCTGCTTAACGAGCATTTCGCAAAATGAATTGTAAGTAAAATGACTCGCTTAACGAGCGACGTTTCGCATAACAAGTGACGATGAGAAGGGAAGTCCCAGATTGCGCGCCTGCTACTTCATATTATGTGTATTTTTGAATATGTTTCACTATACGAGTAAAAAAACAGGAAATTTTGGAATGGAGTAAACTCGTTAAGCGAGGTTCCACTGTATTGATGTACTTTAAAGACATGTATAACATATACGAATATTTTCTTTACTAAACTTTGGATCTTATTAAACAAGATTTTCAAATATTAATTATAAAGTAACTATGCGATTGTTCATAATGAAAACAAATAAAATGTAATGAAGACATTAAAATTGCAAAAAAAAAAGTATGTTGAAATATAAATGTTTATTATGTAAATAATAAATTACATTACTTCGGTTTGGCTAAAGTGAACAAAATGTAAATACTATCGACGGTCATTCCTAAGATGAGTAAGATCGAGAACTGGTACAACATTTTATCTTTCGCTCCGCCTTTTAAATACACCGGCAAGTTGTTATCAATTTGGAATTTCTTCTGCTTCTCTTTGATGCGCGCAAATCCTTTCGGTACAATCTCATTGCAGCCCTGCAATGGTGCTGATCTGCTTATATTTCTTACAATAAGGCTCGTCGCTCTTTTCACTGCATTCATTTCGTTATCGAATAATTTGTTTCGACATTTATTACAAAAACAACAAAAAACGCTGACCACAGATATCTTTAATTTGTAAAAATCTATAAAATATTAATACAAATGTTAATATTTATTAGATTTTTAATATATATATATGTAAGAAAATTGAAACGAATTAAGTTGGACGGAATAAATTTAATGTTTGAAAGAGAAATAAGCATATTATGATTACGTATACACATAATTTAAATGTGGTGATTTTCAATTTTGTACATTGGTATTGGTCATATGGTTACAATGCAATCGAAGGTAATTAAGCATAACCTAAAAAAATAAATAATTGAGTGTCATCTCAACTAGTTTAAAGAACACTTTTTAAATTAAAACTTACGAAAATGACTCTATACCATTTCGGAAACTGTGTTGCTTTAATCTACGTTCCATATTACCTGACTTATAAGTATTCTGGACTGTGAGTATACATTTTTATTATACATTTGTAGGGTTCTAATTTACTTAATTCTAGTTCAGAATATGGGGCATTCTGGAAATGCATACAAGCAGGAATGATATACATGTTTACACAGTTATGTAAAATGTTGGTGTTGGCCACATTCTTTCCAGATAATGATGCAGACATTGGAAGTGATCTGTTAGGGGTATGGATAATCTTTATGACTTGTGTATTACAATGATGTAATTGGATTTAATTTACAGGAATTTTTGAAGGCTACTGTAGATATTGCTGATTTGGTTGGATTATATTTTGTACTCTCGGGAATACCTGGTAAAGGTCACAGTAAAGTTCTGACTGCAGGTATTGGATGGGCCACTGCTGAAGTTATTCTTTCTAGAGCTCTTCTACTGTGGGTTGGTGCCAGAGGTGCTGAATTTGATTGGAAGTACATACAGAAATGTTTAGAGTCAAACATTTTCCTGATTCAGCACATATCTTCAGCTACACTAATTTGGTTGTGGTCCAGGCATGATTTGAAAACAAACCTCAAGCCTATTGTAACAGCATTGCTGATCTTTACTGCCTACAAGGGATTAATGTTGGATATCCTATTAAAAGTTTTAATGACTGGCCCATGGATGATGCTTGTAATTAAAGCATTAGTAACTTTGGCTACTGGAGGCTTCACTTTGACTATCTACGCTGGCCTTGCTCAAGCAATTGGAATATTCTAAGTTATTTATTATGTAATTTCTGTGAAACACATACATGTTTAATTGTACAATTATAAACAGTACCTAAATTACCATTGGTTTATTTCATTAAATAAGTAACATTTAAAAATATAATAATTCATATGTATAGGAAGGAAATAATACAAACATCTTTTTTTTTAACATTCAAGTATATGAACATACGAAATTACGATCCAGCACTAAAATATTGAGAAAAGTATTTCATCCCAAATGATCAACTGAATTAGACTACGATCTGCAGAAGTCGTTCTACAAAAATAATATTTGTATTATCCTACAAAAAAAAAAAACAACTTCACATTTTTTTATATCGCGGAGAAAAACCTATTTAAGATGTCGTACAACCCGTTGGATCATCGTTGTTATCATCGGACTCTGGTTCAGAGGTGTGCTCGTGCTCCGAACTGGAACTGCTGCTGGATGAATTATCCGTAATCGCATCTAAATTTGAGTTCTCCATTGCGAAGTGAAAAACACGCTGAAACAAGTTAACCATCAACTTACAAATTTAACCATTTTTCTCTTCATAACTCAAATTAATTGAACTTGTGACAAAACAATAATTAACAAAAAAAAATGTTAATCCAGCAAAATAATATACTTCTAATTACATTGCTTACTCTGAGCTGATCGTTTCCACTTAACTGACGCCAAAGCATCCATAAGATTTGAGTATCGTCTAAATCCGATGTCATTGGTCCCAAAGCTCTCGCTTTAATATTATTTTTAACAGCTTTGGAAAGACCGACCAATGCTGGTTCTTGTTCGAACGATGGAACCCACACTTTGACGTCCCAATCTAAACCACTTGTACATAAGAATGGCAATTGTGGATGTGGTTCTAAACAATTAACCTGTATATTAAAGAAAGCACGAATCATTATTTTTGTTTTCTATATGAATAATAGTGTGAACAACATACAACACCACTATCATCTGCAAAAAGCCATTGGACGATTGCTTCAGTATCTCTTTCCCAGAAAAATATATTTCCACAATCCGATCCACTTATAATATATTCCGATTTTGGCCCAAAGAAATTGACACCTTTAATGGTAGCACCATTCCGATGTCCTTGGTACTGATGTATGAATTCGTGAGTATTACTGTTCACATCAAATAAGTAAATATCTGCATCGTTATAAGAAGCTAGAATTTCGGAACCGTTATGATTATATACTGCACATGTTACGTGCAACGATCGATTTTTCTGTGTAAATTTCTAGAAAAAATAAATATTACTATGAATCATTTCAATGTTCTTATGTCCATCTACCTTAAATGGATGATAACTTTTAAGTAAATGAGTATTACTGCAACGTCTGTGATCGTAACTGCGGACCATATAATCTCTGCCTGCTACGCAAAATTCATTTCCATTCAACGGATGACCACTCACACTGTACAATGCGACTTTGTGTTCATCGTTCTTTACACACAGCATTCTATAAAATAGTTAACAATACAATCTTATAATGTTTCCAAAAGTAGACTATTTCTAGAACTTGTTTAATAAACAATTTTAAAATGTTATATAATCGATTTATTCTTACCTATCAGGTTTTTCAACACGCAAATCGTGCCTCAAAATGAATCCGTCTTCACCGACAGATATAACAACCTGAGGTTGATCCTGAAGAACAGCTACTTTATGGCAAGGTCCTACATGTGAGCCTAATTTCCTAACACTCCTTAATCCCTCTTGAGCAGATACTTGCGCATAACGAACCTGTCCATCTCTAGCGCAAGTGACTATATGTAAATCACCAGTAAGTGGTAAAAATTTGCTTTGGAAAACATTTCCTCTATGCTTTGTATCATATGACAAGAGCTCATTGCCATTTTTCCAATCCCACAAAACAACTTTAAGATCATCTGAGCCACTGGCTAGCAGTTCACCATTCGGGTGAAAATTCAAACTGTTGACACATCCTTCATGTTTCTCTAGTTTATATATTAACTCGAGTCTCTGTACACAATGCAATGATCCATAACATCTTCTTTGAAACAGCTGAGAAGACTGTTTTTTAGCACTAAAACCTAACAAAAAATCACATCACATTCATTCAGATATTTCCTTTGCATTTCTTACCTAATTGTCTGTTTACTACTTCTGGTACAATGAACCAATTATGTTTGGGTTTGGCTTTTCTCAAAACTGGATGTTCTTCATCAGATTCATCATTATACTCATGTACATTATAATCTGTTGGAGAAATTGGACTTATGTGACTCATTTGGGAGTTGTCAGAAGCATAAGATTCTTCTAAATCAACAGAAGGTTCCCTAAAACCTACGTCCTCATTGGCACTACAAATTCAAAAAAAAAGTGTTTTGTTTTATTTTTTCTATCTATATCTTATCATTGCACTCTTGATAAAATAAATACCTTTCAGCATTACTCGATTCATCATCAGCAGTAGGTTTCCTGTAGTTTCTCGTCCTGGTGTTTCTTGATGTGTTACAGTTATCATTGGAACTGGTACCGGGCTCACAATTGTTCTCCTCATCTGAGTGCTCTGAAGTGTCAGTCTTTAATCGTTTGGCATTTGCATTATGTTCTTGCTCGACATCAATGTTATTAGGATCATTTGCGTTTTCACCATCTGACACATTGCTGTTTTCTTCCATATTTGATTATTTTTAATAGGTTTTATTCTAAAAATAAGTTGTAACGACGTAAAACGTTCGCAAATGTTCAATTCGCAAACTGATGAAGGGTTTCAAGGATTGTCGACTGTTTAACGGTTTTCTTACATATCACGAACATACACTAACACACTATATTTCCATTAATCATAATATTATTTTTTAGAAATGTATTGCAAGTATTTTCGTTGTTCAGTTGTCTGTCATCCGTCAGCTGTTCATTCTCTTGGCCGAAATCACATCAGGTTATACTGGATGCATACACAATTTCTCATGCTTTTACCACATATTCATTTGCTAATAAAATAAAATGATGCAATTGTATTTAATATGTAGATACTGGCAGCTGCCTTACAACTTTAATGATATTTAATTTAAAAAATTATTAATTTACTTTAAATTTTGAAGAAATAACGGTTAAATATTAAAAATAATCATTACATTCATTAAATCAATTTGATTTATTTATTAAAGAATATATATTAATATAATATCTTTCATGCTACATTGGTTGCCTAAAAATACTTTGCCTGGAATTATATGAAAAACTCTAGTAATCGCTGCAAAGCTTTATGATACAAATATACAAGGAATACACATATTTATTAATGCAACAATTGTCGTAATTTGTAGATAGATTATATAATTGTACAAATATACAGTGACGTACCAATTGGGGTATCTATATATAAATTACGACAAAAACTAAATTTGTCTGGCTTTAAAATTCAAATCTATTTGGGTTCTTCAAATACAACTTTTTTTGGGACTTCAAAACTTAATGTTATATTAATAGACTTTTCTTTTTGTTGGAAAACTATACTTTTTCTATGATTACAAACAAAAGTTCTTCGCGCTAAAACAAGTTATGAACTGTTAATACTCAATTAACGGTATATGGTGTGTATACAGTTTGAAATTAAATTAAACTGAGTTCATTCATTCATCAAGTGTAATCCACTTTACAGCTTACAAATTAATTTAATTTTAGGATAAAAACGATGTTAGGTTGGGTTTAAATAAATAATAATACAAATAAGTATGAATCCATTTCTTTAATGAAAATAATGTACATGTTATTGCCTAGACCGCTAAATATATTACACTTCAGAATAGGGTCTTAATACATATTCGCATAGTTATACTAAATTATCAGAATCGATAAATTAGAGTCGTAAAGGACTTCACTTGCGCTCGTAATACATTTTTTTTACCATTTTTTTTTACCTATAAGACATATACACTACACACATATACCTAAACGCGTTAATCTACTCTATTGGAAGTTTTTTTTTACTCATTTCTCCATGAAATATCCTTATCAACATTGAACATAAAATCGTATAGACTAAACATGTTTAATTGTAGTTTTTTTTTGTATCTTTACAATGTAGCTCAAATTTTAAAATTCATTAAAAATCTAACTCTATGTTTATTTTTTTCACATGATATGACGTAGATTGTTTAATAAAATAGAACGTCCACAGTACTAACACAAAGAATATTCTAAGACTGTACAGATATTCATTTCTGATATAAAGATATGTATTTATAAGTATATTATACTGTGAACGGTGTTACACAAATAATGGTTCGGTTCGGCACAAAAAGAAGAATCTGTAATGTGCAGAAACAAAGGTCGCATATGAAATGAAACATGTAAAGATCGGAATTGAATTTTTGCATATTACAATTGTTTTTTGTTTTTGTTTTTTTGTACACCTGAGGTTCGAAATTATTAACATGTTTCAAGTCATAAGCTTTGATGATTTATATTAATGTAGTAAGAAAATTAAAATATAATGTGAGTGTAAAATCATACAAGTGTTTGCGTGTATATTGTATATACTTTTTGTTGCTTTCGGAAATAAAATCGTGGGACCCTATTCTTTTATACTATAACACTTCAGGTCTATAAACAAATATACATCAGTCTAAGGAATACAAAAAAAAATAGAAATAAAATTATAATAATTAAATGATTAAATAATTAATTACAATCTCGACTTTGCTGCAACAACAACAATTTCAAATAGATTAGGAACTTTTTAAAGATTTCTATATTGGTCCATCTTTCTTCTTCTTTTAATCGAACCAAAGTTGAACGGAAAAATAAAATAAATTCGATCAATTTAAATGTATGTACACTGATTACAAGACAATTAAAATAATAATTAATGCAAATTCCATTCAATATATATATACATATGTATGTATATATGTATATGTATATATAGTAAATATACTAAAGAAATTCCTAGCGATTATACCTAATATATAATATATATTCCGTATAACATTTATGTGATAACTATCTACAATATGATATACAATAATTTTACAAGTGACAGACATTCAAATATATTATTATGAGACCCTGCTTAACAAATGACTGTCGCTTGCCTATAATTCTCAAATAACAAATATCTTATTCTTCGTTCTTCATATTTATTAAATAAGCAGTGTTGTTTCACAGCTCCGAAACAACAAATAAATAACTTAGAAAATAATGAATCTTGTTCGAGGAGCTGCAAAACAATTTGTTATTTAGCTAGTATACGGCCTAGATGTGTATAAAGTTGTATACATATATGAATTATATAGTACTATGTACACGCGGAATATATAATCGATTGAATCAAATAAAATTTCATACTCTATACAAATAAAAACTATAAAACTTACCAAAAACAAACAAAAAAAGAAACTGCTTATTTGGCATAATACACATATAAATATATATAATAATAATAATAATTCATGAAACAGTCGAAAAAATATATAAATTCTTATTAGTTCTTTTTCTTTCGTTTAATATTTATTTATACAGAAATAGGAACTTTTTTTAAAAGTGGAAGACTGCTTTCAAAGTGTCTCTGCGGTTTGGAATTTGATTCGAGTGGAATCCATAAAAATAATTGGACCTGTGCTCAAATAAAAATCCTTTCAAAACTAAATAGATTTTCGACTGAGATCCGATTTATACCATCGAGAATACTGATTGAGATGCCTTCTATCTTTCCTGCTGCTGCTAGAGCCATTGTTGTTTTGTTTCTCTCCGTATGAATTACAATATATAATTAAACAAATACTTGACGTATATTACTAATATTCACTTTGTACAAAAAGAAAAAAAAGAAATAATAATAATAATAAAGAATCGACAAAAGAAGAAATAATTAAACATATTACATAACATATATTTAACCGGGAAATATGATTAAGTTCATTGCACAACACTTAAAAAAGTAATTAATAGTAGAGGGTGTTTTTTTTTTAGTCGATATAATGGTCAGCGAAGAAATTGACGTGAGGTCATTCCTGTTTAACCATCATGTTCGGATTAAAATTGTGTCCGCTGGAGGTTACTAAGGAAAGCGGGCTAGTGGCTAGTGAATTTATTGCGAACATGGCACCGTTCGAGTTACCTACAGATACGGGTGAACCCATGGCTGCAGAAGGTGGATTGATTCTTTTCTCTTTTTGTCTCCTGTTGCAGAACCAAACCCGCACGACTTCCTTTTCCATGCAGAGACCGTCGGCCAACATGGTTATCTCCTCGGAGGTCGGTTTCGGGTTCTGGATGAAGGCTTTTTCGAGAGCAACACGGACACTTGTTTCGATGGAAGTGCGCTTCTTGCGGCGCCTGCCAATTGCTTCTGGAGTAGTCATCGGGTTGCTCAGTGCTCCTGGATTTGTTAGAGTACTGTCAGCATCTTCGAGCCACTTCTGCAGCAACGGCTTCAGCTTGCACATGTTTTTGAAGCTAAGGTTGAGCGCTTCGAAACGAGATATAGTCGTTTGAGAGAAATCGTTTCCATATAATTTTCCCATCGCTAATCCGACGTCGCCCTGAGTGAAACCTAACTTTATCCGTCTCTGCTTGAATGTCTTGGCAAACTGTTCGAGCTCCTCCAAGTCTGTGGTTTCTTCGGGACTAGGTTCGAGGAGACGCGATTGTGTTTTCATGTGCTGCGGAGTTAAGCCTCCGGAACTTGGGGTGCTCGGCGTAAGCAGACTTGCCGGTATGTGCGCGTTATTTGGAGGGGTGGTCTGTGTTTGCGGGGCTTGTCCATTTGATGGAATACTGGTGTTGTGCTGGTTAGAATTTTGGTGCTGTTGCTGATGCTGTTGTTGTTGTTGCTGCGCTTTCTGAAGTTGCTGCAGCTGTTGGGCGGCTTGGGCGATCTGTTTACAAAAACAAGACACGATTACTCATATGTAGAAAAAAAAAGTTAAAAATTTAATATGTTGGGAAATCATAAAGCTATTACACATGCAAACATGACATTAGAAACTCTCTTACGCAATTACATAATTGCCATATACAAATGAAGCTCTGAGATGAAATAAATAAACGCGCAGCCATTAAAAAGAAAGAAATGAAAAAAAAATTAGTAAAGAATAAAAATGAAAAAAATAATAAATAATAAAAATGAAACAGAAATAAAAGAAAAAACGTGTGATGGAAAGATTTTCGTGCGTTGAGGCTTGAATTTAAGCGCATCCACGCACCTGCATTGTGTGCTGAGGTCTAGCTGGCATACTTGGACGTGAAAAACCTTGCAGAAACCCCTTTAAATACCACCACCAAATTAAAAACGAATTCACGTTTTTTTTTCATTTCAATACAAACATACTGATATCGTGACAGCACTACATGGATATAATTGTAAAATAAACTAACCTGATTTTGCAAGAAGAATTGAGTGTTGAGTTGATTTCCATGGCCTTGTTGAAGCATGGCGAGTTGTTGTAATTGCTGCAAACTGGGTGGGTTTTGGAAGGCTTGCAATCCGCTCAACATCAAAGGATTGCCCAGAAGTCCTCCTAAACCGCTGAGCGCGGCCAAAGTCGCACCGACACCTGGACTCGAACTTGTGACCTGCGAATTAGGAGACGACCTATTTACCATTTCATTTTCACTCGTCACCTGCAAAGCAAGTCAATCAAACATTAAATTTCCCTTCGAACTTAATAAATCCGAGTTTTATTAAATTTCTCACAAATATTTACAAGCTAATCAAACAATCGGGACGCATCCCTTGGGGTGCTCAAGTAAATTGTTCTTTTGAAAAAACATTTGTTTTCTTCTGATATATATAAATCTGAAAGTTTAGTGCCTCATGTTGTATGTACAGACGGGCCCCTCCCCCCCTTCAAAAAGTTAAAATGTTTAAATTCTTCAGGGAAAACATCCCCCTCAGTTCTTTGATTTAATCGCGTTTGTAATAGACAATCATTGGCTCTGATATTACGACGCAATATTGATTTATCGACTTACCAAGTTTAAAGCCCCATCTCTATCCGAATCCATCGAATCGTCGTCGTGCCTTGATGATATTTGGTGGTCACTGTTAATGCTTTGCTCGTCACCGCTCAGGTCACCGTTCGCATCACCATCTAAACATATAATAAGAATAAGTTAAAACAATTCACAGAGTAAATACTAATAAATATATCGGCCAATAAATATTACAACAATAACAGTTTTTATGATACATTTTAATATTTCATTATGCATTTCATAACGATTGTGGAAACACAATTGTATCGCTCTGCGCGCCATGATAATAATAGCAACAGTCGTAATGGCGATGTATGGAATTTAAAAAAAAAAAAGGGGTTGAAGTCAAGCGATTGAAGTTTGATTGGCTGGAGCCTGTTTTTTTGATGAAGGGGACGCTCGCCCTAACCCGATATAGAGATTACAATAATGTCGGACATGGCAGAGCATCGATCAAAAGCGAACAACGTAGAAAACAGAACGTTAATACAAATTATGGCAAGAGATAGTTTGAATTTCAAATTCGAAAAAGCTTTCTTTTTATTGCTGAGAATCAGCGAGCAACAGTTTTCGATGCTGTGAATTTGAATATTGGCGAGGGTGGCTCATATTGATTCGCGAAAAATGACCATAGTATTCTATTCACGCTCTCTCTCTCTCTCCATGTGTATGCAGAAAAGGGAAAAAAATCAAACCCTGTTTTACATATATTCAGAAGCAAATTCTTCATCCAGAACTATTTAAATGCTGCGAGGGATCTGAATATGGGCTGTTTTATATTCAATCTGAGTATGCGAGTTCGATTTTACAAATACTGTAAAGTTGATCTAGAGGAAAATCCTCTCGCTTTGCATTCGTGAACGCCAGTAGGTTTTCTGATTTATTTCACCGGTTTCTTCCATATCGCTTCTCTCTTCCTTAGTTACACGATTGTTCTCGCTTTGTATTTAATTGGGAATAAACTGTGAATGGTTTTGTGATGGACGCTTTCGTGTTAAGTCTTGCATAGTGAGTGATAAGGGAGGTAATCGGGAGGGTGAATATAAAAAAAAATAAACACGCGATAGAAATTTCACACCAACTGAATTTTTATATTTAGGGATGCAGCGGTCACTTGAGTCATGAGCATGGACCGTGAAAATAGCTATGCATCCTTTTTACCCGGTCAATATTGTGTCCTGCAAATATCGAATGGCGTCTGGCGCAAAATAACATTTCACGTACACTATACAAGGCGAGTCCGCATTGTGTGTTGTATGTAATACGCTTTTTTTTTATATTTTATTTTCAATCAATCATGTCACCGAAGGGTCGGACGTCGGGGGTGCATTTGGACGCGGTCGAAAGGGTGTAAAAGTGTAGTTAAAAGAATGAAATTCGATGTTAATCCGTGAAATATGCAGCAATCGATTATTTGTGGCCATATGCCTGAAAGGGGACGGCTGTGATTTATCCTTGAACGATATTAAGAAGGGATTAAATCAATTAACATATTTAAGAAGCAACAAGCGTTGGCACGCGACCTCATCATCAACCCTTCAGGGGGTCGGGACGCGTGTCCCGTCTTAGTGTGAATAGAAGAGGAAAAGGGGTCCGCTTTTTAATATATTTGTAATATTTCCTTTGGGGACGTTTTATTGCGACAAAATGCATCCTTCCTCGTCATTATCATTGCGGCTGAGTAATAAGGGAAGTTCCGAGCTTGAGATTCAGAGTGATGCTATTATAAAATTATCAAGCATGATTTCGGTGGGAATGTCTGAAAACTGGGCTCCTCGCTTAAGAACAAAGCAGCGCATTAACGAGAGTGGCTTGGAAATAAAACGGCCAAAAACTATGGAATACTAATAATCATAATAATAATGAAATCATTATTAACGAGAACAGTAGCTGATATTTTTCTTTTTGCCATTATATTTTACCCTTTAATTTGAGCCCGCAGCCGCAACTTGTCTTCGCCGTCATTATTCAATTTTACGACTAGAAAAAGTCATGTTTAATAATGCCATGTCCTTTATACCTCTACATATATAAGTGTGTATATGTATTGGCCTCAATTAGGGTTTCGAGTAAAAAATAATCATAATAATAATGAAGAGGTTCTTACCATCGTGTGAAGGCGGCGTTGAAGGAGTCTTGTCCATGCGATTCAGCGTCCGCTGATGATCACCTATAAATAAATAAAACTGTTATCAGGGGACGTCCTTTTCCCTTCCACTCGTTTTTTCTTCCTCTTCTTATTTCTTTCTTTTCTTTTTTCCGTAAAGTAGGATATATGCAAAAGCTTCTTTTCGCCAAGGGGTCGAGGGAAAATAATAGCCTGGGGTCACCGTTCCTCGGGGACCCATATATCCTCAATACGGCCGCCTTAATTTAAATTTGGCCACCCCCTAAAGGCAAACACCTCGCCCAAAACGACGAAATTAAAAACCACTGCCAATCCACAAATCCAGTTATGCCACAGCTGCAGTTCTTGCGGTTTTCTTTGACATTTGCATGGACACACCGCACACGGTCATCCATATTTTATGGATCGCGTGCCTCCCCCGTATCTGAATATGAATATGTCTAGTGTATGAATCTTTAAAACTTCATCTAGCGCATGCATTTTCGATTCGGCCTCGTCTTTTTTACCCGCCCATTCGATATGCAATTACAACAAAACAAAAAAAAGCGTAGAAAACTTAAAGCCGACGTTACACAATCAATAATTCAATTCTAATCACACACACGCATCCATAATTAGAGTAAAGGTGATTATGCTCTCGTATAAATAGCGTTCAAGCCATGATGAGTAATGTTTATTGAATGTATGTATCCTCTATTTCTTTATTATCTCGCAACAGATGAATTCCATCGAGATAATATTGTATTGAAATTAATATCATAAAATATATTACACGCATTACAATAAATTTAAATCATTTTAAGTAAATTTTCATAATCATAAAACGCCAAGCGAAGCGAAATATCTAGTACTTGATGTTTCAATGTACAACTATGTATGGAAATGTATTGAATAAATAATGAACGAGTCCTAATCAAATTTAATTGAAATTAAGTCATTGAGTATTATAGTTTTTTTTATTTCTAAGTAAGTTTCAATTTATTAAACATTATTTTAGAAATAATAAAAAGTACAAAACTCTCATCACAATATCGCTTTATCTCGTTTGATTGTGACGATATTTTTTTTTGTAATCTTCCTTAGATAATCGGGCTTCGCCCTTCCCAATTTTTCGACACGTAGAAATAATTGAAATCGTTTCTGGAATAATAATAATTTCATTACAAAATAATAAAGTAATCATTTTGCTTATAGATTATAAATAATTTTGATCAATGATAATAACAGTTTTTTTTTTTAAATTTCTCTCCAAATATATTAGTCAAGTTGCTGATATTCTTATTACGGCAATATGATTAAAGATCATTTTAAAAATACATTTATAAATGTGATTACTTTATAAATACAACGCATTTGAGAGTATTGGGTGGATGAGTTAATGAATTATGGTAATAAGACTTCTGTGGCGTGGGTATTTAGGGTATTTAAAAAATTTCAATTGCAAATTATTTTCGAAGGAAAATTAAAAAAAAAAAAATACTCGCCAAGGGGTTAATAATTATTAGTATAATTAGGATTGTGCATATGGAAACCACAATTTGGAATCCTTCCGTGCACGAAACTGAGCCGTTCTGGCTCCTTGAATCCGTTTCATTCGGAATCACAATGAAAATATTATAGAGGTGTATGTATATTTATATGTGTAAAAGAGAAGCCAATATGAATTAGTATTAAAATGCTATGTTAATGAGCAGCCGTCATATTTTTATGATGTATTTAATGCGATTGTTTCGTTTCTTCAATTTCCATTATTTTCTATAAAGTTAATATAGGTTTTATGGAGCGATAATATATAATATATTGTGAGAAATTAATGTTGCTGAAATGCAATTAATTGTTAATTATCGCGGCCCATTTGTCCATGGAATCTATCAGGACTAAATAAAATGGGGTATGTGCTTAGCAGGAACAAATCGCTAATGAAAGAATGATGTTTGGCGGCAACATCGAGAAAACAAAACAAAAAAAAAATAGTTGAGCAATCTAGATTGGAATCGGTTTTAATGCATTTCTTTAGTGGTAATTATAATATTGTTATAATTCGAAGCATGCAAAGTAAAAATTTATGAATTACGTTCGAGCCGGCAAGAAGTTCATTAAAAATTAGATGGCGAGATAAAAAAAAGAAGATGTGTAGCAAACTGAAAACGTTATACTAATTAAATGAATAATTCAGATTTTATTTAAATGCCCCCCCTTGTTTATTTTTTTTTTGCCATTCGCCAGTAATGCGAATATAATTAAGTTCACTTACTTGGAAAGATCGTTGGCAATTTCGTGCTCAAGCTAATGTACGGGTCCATGTGAGCGGCGTTATAGGAACTATTTAGTAAAGATGTCATATTGGATCAATTGATAGATATTGAATATTTAAAATTATATGTTTACTAGGTATTTAAGATAATTATATAGGTAAGGCTGATATTTTTACAGATAAGATAATTCTTATACATGTATATATGGATATGGATATGTACTGGAGGTTTATTAATTAAACTTCTCCTTCTCACTGCTCGCGTCTCCTATGCCGCTGTTTCTCTCTGACTTTCGGAACTCTCGCGAGATAACTTTTTTTTTTTTGTTGGTCGGGGGGAAGGCGAGGCTGTATCTCATTTATCAAATTAGAAACAGCAAGCAATTAACAATTATCAGGTAAATGAGAGCGCTCGCCAAAATCATTGGCAGGAATATGCTAAGGTAACGCGCACTCATTTCACTTGGACTCGATGATCACCAAGCACCAGGAATATAGGATTTGTGCTTCTAGACACAGAGCACTTTATTCCTCCGGTTTTTCTTTTCTTTTTGGGGAGCACGACGAGTTTTCGCAGCGCCGTCCAAATGCCGACTGATCGTGAGTTTGTAAGTGTGTGGGGTGGTCAGTGGTCAACATTTGATACACTCTCTAATATATTCACCCCATCCACCCGCATACACCCAGCGTGCACCCCTGTGCATTATACATTCCTACTATGTATTGATACGCGTTTAAAACATTTATTCCCTATTCCCCGTTTCGATTACCGCGAAAAAAAAAAATCAATTAACCACATACTTTCTCGGCCTGCTCGTATTCATCAGCTCAGATGATTTCATAATCTTATTTATAAGTGAGTGATATTATATGTATTTAACATGCTATAAATATTACAAAATAGATAGTAAGGTGTTTAAACAAATAAATGGGAATTTGCTCTGAATTGATAAAAACTTATTTACTCGATTTATACAAATACCTAACACACACATATATATATATATAAAAAAGATTTCTTTATCGACCAACGTTCTCATTTATATAATAACAAAAAAATAATAATAATAAACGATAATGGGACTGAAGTAAAGTTCGAATCGATTCATTAATTTGAACATGTTTCGCATAATTATTATTCATTTGACGCCAAAGAAAACAACAAACTTGAGCAAACATTCAGATTAGATTAAGTTAATAAATATTATGTATGTAAATGTTTGAAATTACGTATTTAAATTGATTAAAAAGAGAAAGTAGATAGCGCCACCCAGTTTTTCTCAAAAACTTTTTCAACAGGTAAAAAATATTCAATAACACATTGATTACAGATTAATACATTAATTATAATTTATCAGATAAGTATTATATATTATTCTATTATGTTTATTCCATCATATTATAATTATGTTAATATATCTTTGCATATTCAAAATATTCATGAATATTTCTTATAAATTCGATTGAAAAGTCTCGTTGTCATCGAATTTTCAATTTGTGAATAGAAACCGACTCGTTTGAAGTGCATTTTGTGTAGATTACGAATGCGATTCGTAGTAAAATCGATTGTAATAAATTAGTAGTAATAGTATTTACTATCATCAGATATGTATGAAAAATCAAATTGCGGTTTATAATCAATAATATCGAGTGTTGTAAATATTTATGTCGATTATCGAGTACAGTTTTCTACGTAACCTAAATTTTTAGACTACAGGTAGATACTACAGTTTTCTTTCGACAAAGGGCTTGTCACATACCTATAAATTATATGCATATCTAGAAAGGAGACCTTTTGGAATGCCCCGAATAATGAGATGTATGAACGATTTTTTTTTGCACGAACAAAGGGCTTTTAAAAGGAGGATTGATAAATAGTTGCAGCTAAAAACCGACAGCATCTATTATCTACTCCCGCACAAAGATTTTTTTTTTGCATACACCGACGTTGTGTGAGAATTTGCGTCAAGCTATGAATATCGTTCATAAAATGGACGACTACGTTAGTAACCAAATGTATTGAATGAATTTTAAATTTTGTGTTTTTTTTTGTTTCGTCTGTAATGATTATAAATTTGCGAATGAATATCAAAGTGGTTTTAAAGCCCGAGCCACAATTTCAATACGAAAAGGTGGCCGGCCGGTTCAAAAGGTATTACAAAATATATAGTATGCATTGGTGGAAATAGGTTCGATGGTCGTGAGGGCACAAAGGGCCGGGCTGCTGCTGCGGTGCGTGGGTGCATTCAATACTCTGCTCCGCGTCCTGTAAAAGGAAGGGAAATATATTTTGCAATTCCATGGGGCCCCGGTGGTCAGCTGCCCTTTGCGACCCCTTATTGATATACTGTGTAAATAGGAGTAAATTCTCAGTATGTTACCTCTTATCCAGTGCAAAATTCGAATGCATAATACATTGGTCGGAATACGGCGAGAGCGAAAACCGAAGTTTGATCCGATATTATATTTTGACCGTTCTCGCTCGTGCGTTTTCATTCTCTATCTTTTTTTTGTTTTTGTTTCTTATTCTTCGCTTTGTTTCGGTTTCGGCAAAGGCGAAATTGATGTTCTTAATGGATTTCGTGGCGTTATTAGAAAAATATAATTTAATATTATCAGCTGTAAATAACAAAGAAATGTTCAGTAAATGTCGAAAAGTTTGCTAATGAAATTAATTAATGTTTACCAAGTTTCATATTTTCCAAGGCCCTATATGAAAGGTTTAATGTCTTTTTGATAAATTGACAGTTATTAATACTGATACCCTAGCCTTTAATATAACGTTGCCGTTGCCGCGGCCGCTGCTGCCTTCGACGACGAGATCCTTTAGTATAAAGACGAAAGAACGCATTTGGCAGAATAGCAGAGCGAATTTCAATACAATTAGTCCGTGGACTTGGTTTGTGAGAGGCTTTTGAGGAACGCCGAAATGATGGACTTGAAGGGAATTGCGAACTGCATAAGAAAGTATTATACAAACAATGGGATCCGGTCCTTTTGGATCGGACTCCTTTTTTGCGCCGAGGGTGGAATGCCCTTAGCATTTAAAGTGATTTTAAATCAAATGATTTACATTCCCGGACCCCAATGGAATTCTTACTTTACGAAATTAATTTCGATTCGCATCTGTATTTCTTTTTTCTTTTTGTACTTATCCTAAAATATTAACGCGTCGCCCGAACTTTATGTTCGCCGCCCTCGCATATTCGAAGTGACATTTCAATATATGTTTTATAGAATGTATAACCTGCTGCGACCGTATATCATGAGGGACTATCATGGCAAGGTGCTGCCCAATGGTCATTTGCCAGTAAAGTCCCCTAAAGGCCGTGTTATATACGAGATGGCTCCCATATTCGAAAAGGCGGGATGTAAAACATTGGGATATAAACACACTGACAGCAATATGCTACCAACTTTTACACGGGATAAATAGAAAGAGGGTGAATTGTAACAGCGAGTAAAAGGGAGAAGGAAAGAGTGTGCGGAGAAAAAAAAAATCATTTCACAAGGATCGGAAGGAGACTGAAGAAATATGAGGTGGGTAACTTTAAACACCCTTATTAATGTGAGGCGTGTGCCCGAGGTGGATGGATGCAACGGGTTTGACAATAGTTGGGTCGCGTGTTCTTTGATTAACACGATAAAGCGTTTATTCAAAAAGGGGTGCATTCAAATTGAGCTACCTGTTTCACCTTCTCCAAAGGGGTGTCAACCGTGCCGTAAACCGCTGTTTAAGTCGGTAATCCTCTCAGGACCCCGTCAAGTGTTCCCTAAACGCGAATACTTTAAATTCTGTCTTCCCTTCAGGACCCCTAATTTACATCCTTTTTTATATGTTAGGGGGAGAGAGAGAAGTCTCTATAGAGACTTCATATTTCTCCACTTTATATTCAATAGGTGATCATATCGCGTTACTCAACAGATTGTTATGTTTTCGCTGTAAGATGGATGGACGTTCGAGAATAAGATGCAGCAGAAAGAAAAAAGGGGATAAAAATTAGGTAGAAGTGGATGAATATAAGTGGATCGGAGTAACATTTAGTTTGGCATAAGTGAATTTGGCCGCGGCCATTGGTTCACTTGTCTGGGCCATAGTGGGAAGAAAGCACCTTTCAACTGGAGTATAATTCAATTTAAATAAGAGAAAGTTCCAGATGTGCGGGGGAGGCCGTGGGGCAATCTGGAGTGGCAAGGGACAAATGGACCGAACCGGACGTGAGGATTCGATAAAGATTCACTGTTTTTTAAGGGACTTACACTAAATGCGTTTCGCTGTATTACGTATCATAGATATACTACGTGCGAAAGTGCATCCACTCGCATATCAAGGGGAACAAACAGTTTTAGTTCTTTACTCAAATTACCTCAATCAATAAACCGATTATTCCGTTATTTTACTGAACAAGCTCTGATCATCAATATCAAAAAAAAAAATAATTATATTTAAACAGATTACTTTCGAAAGCGAACTTTGTACTAAATACTCTATTTATATATTAAATCATTACATTTTTTATAATCGATAACATTACATTTCTGATGAAATGAGGACGCGCTTATATATATATTTATTCGTTAATCTATATAACTTGTGTCACCAAATTTATTGCTAAAATTAGGTTTGAATAATGCGATTATCAGGTACCTTCTTTTTTTTTTGGGGGATATTCGAGGAACGGAAATGAGTTTTAAATAAAATCATGAAAGCAAATTACCTTTCAAATGGATGCTTTAGTGAAGGAGGCAGGCGGAAGTACTTTGTAAAAAGCGCATTTGAAAAATATCTGTTATTGGCCGAAAGGGCATCCTTCATTTCCTATTATTTGGTGCCAAAAGTTTCATGTAGAAAACACAGTTATTAGGGGTTCTATAGTAGGGTTGCATCTGTCGCACGTTAAATGAAAAATTAATGTGCAGTTGCAATGCTGTAACAAGCTACGTATAACAAGCTTCGTTTTTCTGGGAGGAACGTTTCGATCAACATGTGACATTAACAAGAAGGGGTGAGTCAGCGAATTCTCTAATAATCTGTCAACGGGGGTGGCGAAGACAAGATGAGGGTGTTCCTTTTTGTTTAAGGTATATAGTCTCTTAAGTATGGACACTTACTTGGTGACAATCCCAGCCTAGCCTGGAGCGCCAATTTCGATTCCTCCGCCGATGGCAACTGCTGCATGTCCGACCTCCAGTTGATTTCCGGTTCGTTTATCCATAATTTACCTGGAACAGAACATTTTATTTAGCGAACGAATAAGTTTTTGCGCCTCGCCGTTTCCTCGGCAGGGGCAGTGCTAACTAGGGTCGCACTAATCAATAGCATCCCCTGGCCCCGCTCTTCCGCCAACCCCTGCTGCACACGCAGTTTCCACCCCGACACAACAAACTTTTATTCTCCGAATGTGCAAGCAAGTACAATGACTCCAAAATGAAACGAATCGTCCGGGCGCAAAATGATTGTTTAATTTTTCTCTTGATTGCTTTCGGTTACAAACGACCACAAAAGGTCTTTGAACGCTGCTGATATGTAGATTTCTTAATATATAATTATAATATAAATCATGCACATAATAGATTTTCTTCACCGGTTTCGGCTTTTTTTTTGTTGTTGTTGTTGTTGTTACTGTTCTCTTTCTCTAGCATTAATGTAGACAATTATATTGGACCATGCCAAGGTTACACTTGATTTTGTTTCGGGAAATAATGAGTTCAAAGAAATATGTATACCTTGTTTATGAAATAATACGTTTGTGATATGGTGGAACGGTTTAAACGGTAGAATCTTTTTATTTATTGAACATATGTGCGAACAACAGGATGTGCAGCCGAGCAAGTACATCTTGTCTGGAAAGCAAACAGAGTCCTGCACGCTCTTTCTCTTCTACTCTTCGCTTCCCCCTCGCTCGCGACCACTCTCTATCTCCTTCGCTCTTTCCATTTCTTTTTCCTATCCCTGATTTGTGTCCTGTCGTGTCCAGTTCGTCCTGGCGCCGTCATGAAAGCCGGGGCCACAGCCGCAATTTACTTAGGTCCTCTGAATCAAATTGTGAATCTTCAAAAGAATCGGCCACCCCTAGTAAAATAGCCTCCGCCGCCCCCCATTTCACTTTTATTTAACTCGGTTTTTATCTCCTCTTTAAATCACGACCCTTTCACCCACACAATATAAATCGCGCCGGTGCAAATGGGATATTAAATCGGGAGCAGCGCGATGCCCTCCTGCGCCCTCAGATAAAGAGAGGAAAATCGAAATAAAAAATGGACCTGAAAAGGGGGCGGTCTCCTAAATTTACATACGTTTTGCATCCCTACAGAAGCGCCGCCCATCCGGGACCGAAATCGTATGCAAAAAAAGGGGTTGCGCATGTCTAACCCGTCCCATATATCGATGATATGTAAAACGCTTGCGCGTCCGCGTTTTACATGGGGCCTCTTTTTATGAACCCTTCACACCCTTTATATACAAGATTTCCTCAACCCTTATGCCTAAAAAAAAGGTGGCAGCCAATGGCATTCAATCCCTACAGTTTGCTTTTCTTATATACGTGTGTGTATACATAATCAAAAGAAGCAACAAAAAAAAAAAGATCGCACTTCCTGCACCCACTAAAAAATTTGTTGCTTAGGTAAATAATCCGAGGAAGGCGAAAGAAAAGTGAATCGTAGAAATATAACCCACAACCCCATATTCGCCACATGTTGTTACAAAAGTATTATTTACCATTTCGCTCGTTTTTTATTCTTTGCTTTGTTGAAAGCATGTGGTCTATTGTGAACACACACGCTTGTACCTGGAGGGATGCAACCCTTAAATAGCAAGCACACGTAACCCCCTCCGGTTAAAATCCCCCGCATTGCGAAAGGGCCGTTTCAGCTGGCGATGGATAAACACGTTAAAAAATGGATGAACCAAACCAAACCAAAAAAAAAACGTTCACAATCATAATAACAACAATAAAGAAAAAAATAAGAAATCCTTCAAGAATCCGACTTCTTTAAGGAACAGAACCTGGAATAATATTTTACATTGTCACGCTGTCGCATTAAGACGAGTAAAATCCGAAACGTTTGTATTTTATTCCAGCCCGCAGCGAATACTCCGTAAAATTGAGGATGATTTTCTTTTGGCACAGAACCGCAAGTTCGTTCTTCGTCCGGTTTTGTATTTCTTGGATAATAAGATGCAAAGCTATTATGATTAATAAGCCGTTTTTGGATTGGCTGTAGCATTTCGCCAATGCCGTTCGGGCGCAGCTACCAAACAATAGTTATTTGAACACGCGATTCGAAAAAGGGGTTCCTCTCGAACAAAAGGCTCAAAATGTATATATATATATAGACCATGTATCGAAAGAGAGCACGAGCTGTGCACACGTTGATACATTTGTCATGGGGTAGTTGCAATAAAGGGATGGAAATCAAAATGGGGGACGACGTTTGGTTTGCCGTTTGTCGGTTACAGATTAAACAATCCTTTCCTATCGAGATGTATGCAACCAGCTTATCGCAATTGTGATAAGAGAATGTTATTGCATGACTCTGCTGCTGGACGCGTTTTGCGTGCAGATGTATATGATTCTGATCCTAATTATGTAAAGAGACTGAAAAATGGAAGCGGAAAATAACAAACTGTAATAATTGAATGTTACGTGGCAAAAAATGCAAATGGCTTCTTCACACACACAAACAAATGTTAATTTTCACGTTCCGCCGCTCATGTGACATTTTTTTTTTAAATTTAATAAATCACCAAAATTAGAATCGGTTGGCTTAATTAAAGTAAGTACATTTATTAAGAATAATTGAGTGACACGCACCAGTTGGGCAGCAGAACTGTGTGTTTCGTTATTGCTAGTTTTGTGGGCTTAATTACAGAAACATGGAGAAGTTCTTAGAAGCAATTCGTGAATTTTCTTTACTTCTTTTTTTCCTTCTCCGGTGGATTGAATTGGTCACTGCGGTAAATAGTACTTCCTCCTATCCATATTCAATTGGCCATTCGCCATCCTACAAAGAGGAACGAACAAAACGCAAACGAAACAAGAATGAAAAGGCATATGGAGGAGCAACGGCGCCCTTTCTTTTCGCTTATTTTTTTTTTGTCAGTGGAGCATTGTCTCCGCACGTTGTTGTTTCCTTTTTTTATTATTATTTTGTTTTTTTCTTCTCCTTCTTCCCTTTTCCACGTAATGATATGTTTATGGGTCGCAAAATATTATAATTAGTCTCGCAAATGCACGTTTGCACGACTCGCATTCTGTATTGGTTTTGAGAAACGCCATGGCGGCGCATTTTTTTTCCAGAAATCATTAAAATCGAACTCGCTCATTGCATGTCTCTGCATTATTCAAAAATGAAGGCAACCAAATGATAATAAAAGGGGGGCTGCTTTCGAGGAAGATCCAAGAAGAGGAAGACCAGCTCGGTAATCATGCGACCGACCTCCACTGAAATACACATGGCGGATGATCATTATGTGACTGCTACTACCACCACCGTACAATGATGATGGTTGTTGTTGTTGCGGTGGCGGCATCATCCTTCGATCATACCTAATTAACTTCCTTGTTGTTTCGGCGGCGGCGGCGGCAGCGCGCAAAACGCAAAGTGATAAAACACGTGTATTTATAATCGTAAACTAATATTTATATGTGGAGATGATTTTATTACGAGACTGGCGCAGCGAGCGCGGCTGGGGGTGGCTAATCATTAGGTCGGTGAGTTTAATCGTATATCTCGTTCAGGTAGAGACCAGCATTATTCTACATCATTCTTCGCGCTCGCAGTACTGTAACTAATACCGCTCGCACCAACACCAACAACATAAAAATCACATGAACAAAAAGAAAAACAACAGCAACACAACACATAACAGTGCAGAAGAGAGAACCACACGACATCATAACAACAAATTTGAGAAACGCATTCTTTTATTTCGATTGCTTATTGAAAGTGAACGATAATAGTAACTTTCTTAAAATATAATTAATAAATGAATTTGACAATTTGTACTTTCATGTTCGCATTCAAGGTGACGACATCAATTAAAAGCCGATTAATGAAGAATGTCGTCTCTCTTTCGGTTCTATTTGGATTAAATCCGAAACAAGCGACCATAACTGCCGACTGGTTGCGATTAAGGGAAGTGAAAGAAACTCTCCAACCCACGCATGACGACTTGGTGCTAATAACAATAAAAAATTAGATGTATATAATACCGAACTTTCTAAAACGCTCGCCATTTTTAGCATCGACTGGAGAGATGGATTTAACAACAAATACGAGAGAAAAAAAAAGGAGGTATAATGTGTAAGGCGAGCGGGTATTTATTCATGAATTCTCCTATACTTGATTTAAACGACCCGTTCTATCCATAACTGTCCACCATTTCCAAGTAGATTTACTTTAATTTATTGAGAAAACGAGATTTCAAGAATCCATTGGTCGCTACCGCGGCAGGAAAACAATTTTTTTGCCCTCCCGCTTGAATTTATCGATTTGCAATATTTTTCGTGCAAAAAAATATGTCTATGTATATATATATATATATAACTGGAAAAATGCTGTCTCTCACGCGCTGCACCTTTTCCAACTTTTACCCCAAATTTGAGCTTACAATAGCGCAGCTTTTTTTTACGAATAATTTTCAAAAGTGGAAGTCTCTTAAAAAAAAGAGGGTCGCATTTTCCCAAGGTTTTACCCCAAACAAAAAAAAAACAGATTCAAATAACTGAGTAACGGTTTTTCGGCACTTAATGAATCAAGAAGCTGTCAGGTGGATTTTTTTTTTGAAAAATCGTTGATTTTGGTTTATAAAAGAGTAATTAAGCAAATAGGTTTTTAACTCGGGTTTCCGATGACTCCCGGGATTCCTTTGTGAGATTGGTATCACCCACACAAAGCAATAATTTTCGGTGTGGATATAATAAAAAAAGTACTCGAGTTATGAAGGCCCTTATTATATTATATTATTTTTTTTTCTTTTATGTCGAAGGAGCAACAAAGGGCTCTCCCTGATTAATTTCTAAGATGCGCGTCCGGTGGTTGCCAAAATGTATTCGGAATCCTCGAAAAGGCACAGGTAGATCGGTATGATTGACGTATTAATGAGGAATTTTGAAGTCGACAATGGATGCGGGGGGCTTAACCTAATTTAATTATTGTTCGGCGCGTATTGAAATGGAATTTATTTGGGCCGCTAAAATCTATGGATATGGA